TTCGCGATGTCGCATTCATGGTTGGGGAGTGGGTCTTGCTCCGGGTTTCGCCCATGAAGGGTGTTATGAGGTTTGGAAAAAAGGGCAAGCTGAGCCCCAGGTTTATTGGCCCATTCAAGGTGTTGCGGCGAGTTGGGGAGGTTTCTTATGAGCATGCCTTGCCTCCCAGTCTATCAGGAGTTCATCCAGTATTTTATGTTTCTATGCTCCGGAAGTATCATGACGATCTGTCTCATGTGTTAGATTTCAGCTCAATCTAGTTGGACAAGGATTTGTCTTATGTTGAGGAGCCGGTGGCCATTTTGGACAGGCAGGTTTGAAAGTTGAGGTCGACGAACATTGCTTCGGTGAAGGTTCGGTGGAGGGGCCAGCCAATCGAAGAGGCGACATAGGAGATCGAGCATGATATGCATAGCCGTTATCCTCATATTTTAACCACTACAGGTATATCTCTATACTCGTTCGAGGATGAACGTTTGTTTTAAGACGGGGAGGATGTAACGACCCGGCGGGTTGTTTTGAGAGTATTAGCCACGACCTCCTATTTATTGCTCCCTCTATTTCATTTTGTCTTTACTTGACTTGTCGGGGTGCTTGGTGTCTGGTTCGGGTGAGTTTCGAAGTGGAATGGGACACATAGTCCCTAAATTGGATGTTTAAGTTGTAGGAGTTGACAGTAGTTTGGCTTATGTGAAGAGGGATCCGAAATGGGGTTTTAACGGTTCCAATAGCTCCTTATGGTGATTTTGGTCTTAGGAGCGTGTCCGGATGTTGATTTGGATGTCTGTAGGTCGTTTCGTGTATCTTTGCAAAAGTTGGAAAATTGGAAGATTTTTGGAAAAGTTTGACCTGGAGTGGACCTTTAATGGAGTGGAAAATTGTAGGTCGTTTCGTGTATCTTCGCGAGGAGGATCACGATCGCGAAGGGTCGTAATGGTAGCTAGGGAATTCACTCTTCGCGTTCGCATAGTAAGGGTCGCAATCACGGCAGTGTTGAAGCTTGTGCTTCGCAAACGCGTAGGTAGGATCGCGTTCGCGTACAAGGAGTTGAGGCAGAGGGTTCCACACAGTTGTACTTCGTGATCGCGTAGGCGTGTTCGCAATCCCGTAGGCCTGGGTATTCGTTTATCCGCGTGGTGCCAACCGCGTTCACGAAGGTTATTTTGTTGGGGCAGCTTATTTTGTTCAACGCGATCGCATGTGAAAGTTTCGTGATCGCTTAGTGTAAACACCTGGGCAGCAAAACTTAAATCTCAAAATCAAGGGTTATATGTCATTTTTTACCATTTGTACTTGAGAGCTCGGATTAAGGCGATATTTTGGGAGATTTTCAGAGGGATTGTTGGGGTAAGAGTTCCTAACTCGTTTTCGATTAAATTCCCTTAATCTATCATTGATTTTATCATTTAATTAGGGATTTGGGTTGAAAAATTTGGAAGAACTTCTTAGACCGAATTTTGGGGATTTGAGCGAGATTATGGTATCGGATTTGTGTAACTTTTGTATGGTTGGACTCGATATTGAATGGGTGTTCGATTTTTGTAATTGTTGTCGGGTTCCGAGATGCGGGCTCAGATTGACTCTTTAGGGGCGATTTTCCAATTCTTTGCCAAAATCATAATTTCATTATTTAGATAAGTTTCCTATAGTTATATATATAGTATGTAATTATTTTGGCTAAATTCGGACCGTTTAGAGTTGGAAAATCGAGGGAAAAGCCTTCTAATTGATTGATTTGGCGTGGTTTGAGGTAAGTGACTTGTCTAACCATGTGTGGGAGAAATTTCCCTTAAGATTTTGGTACTGTTGTAACAATTTGTGATATATGAGGGCCGCATACGCGAGGTGACCAGTGCGTACACTGACTAAATGTTGAAATTCCGATTTTGCTAAATAGTTTCCTTTTCATGCCTTAATTGAGTTACTTGAGCATGTGTGGTCATCATGTTTAGCCTAATTCACATGTATACTTGGCTTATCTCTTATTTGCAGCTTGTACTACATGCTTAGTTGAATTACCTGCTTTTCTTGAGTCCATATTCATTATTTAACTGTGCGATTCTTTACTTGAAATTGCTATACTTGAAATATTATTGTTTCAGTTATTATGTTTTGGTTTCCGTGATTATTGTTGAGATGATTGTTTGGTTGTGGCACGAGGTTTCTGCCGTACGGGTTGTTATTGTGGAACGAGGTTTCTTTCGTGCGGGTTGTTATTGTGGCACGAGGTCTCTATCGTGCGGGTTGTTATTGTGCAACGAGGTCTCTACCGTGCGGATTGTTATTGTGGCACGAGGTTTCTACTATACAGATTATTATTGTGGCACGAGGTTTCTGCCGTGCTGTTATTATTATTTGCATGAGGTTTCTGCCGTGCCGTTGTGATTATGGATACGCATGGGTGGTTTAAGGAAAGAATGCGAGACATTTACTTTTGGGACTACGAGGCAGTACCTCGGGAGTGCCCCTGTTGATTTCTCTATTTGTTGTTGTTGTTCCTTAACTTGTAAGATTCTTGCTTCCTTCCATGTGGTAATTATTTTCTTTGATTCCGTATTGTTACCTTCCGTATTTTTTAGTGTTTCACTTCCCTGTCATTTTATTATATCATTATTTCTCCTGCCTTGTTTCTTATTATTTTCAGTAGGGCCCTGGCCTGACCTCGTCACTACTCTACCGAAGTTAGGCTTGATACTTACTGGGTACCACTGTGGTGTACTTATACTACGCTTCTGCACATATTTTTGTGTAGATCCAGGTACATCCTCTCAACCTCGATATTAGAGTGTTGCGCTGCTGCTTGGAGACTTCAAGGTACACCTGCCCGCGTCCGCAGGCCTCGGAGTCCCCTTCAATCCCATCTTTTCCCGGTTCCTATATGTTTCTTGATAGAGATGATGTATAGCATTGTGCAACATTGTATCTAGAACTTGTGACTTATATCTACCGGATTTTGGGAGTTGTATTTTGAGCTCAAAAATTATTAATCCAATTATTCCGCATGCTTGTTAGGCTTACCTAGTCTTAGAGACTAGGTGCCGTCACGATATCCTACGGAGAAAAATTGGATCGTGACAGTATGAGCCACGTGTTTATAAATCAAAATTGGTCAAAAGCTATGAATTAATTCTCAAGTTCGAATTTATGACTTTTCAGCTAATAATAAGCATATTTTTACTATTTTATTTTCACATTTATTTTTTATATCTTGATTCTCGTATTACCCTGTCCCTCCCCTACCCCCTGCCCCATCCTAAAAAAACCTCATCTCGTCCTCCCCTCCTATTGTTTTAATTATTTTAACATAAAAGTATTTTCTTTAAATACTTCTATCTAACAATATAAATAATACTCCTTTCAGTCCGCTTTAATTGATTGTTTAGTCTTTTTTGTGGTCCACAATACTTAATTTTTTTCAGATATCAAGAAGGAATTAATTTTTTTTCCAAAGTTGCCCTTGGTGTAAAGAGTCTTAGAATATATGTTATATTTTTATTGAACAAATTAAAGAGATAGTAAAGGTTAATTTGGTCAATTTAATTACTAATTAACGTTAAAAGGTAAATTTCTTAATTTGTGTGAAAATATCTAAAAAAAAATAAATTAAAGTTGACGGGAGGGCGTAGTATTTATTAGAGCAATTTACGTAAAATACCCATTGAGCTTAAAATAATTACCATTTCCTATCCATTTGAAAACTATTTACAATATATACCTACCAAATTAAAATTAATTACCCCTACCTACCCACCCATCCCAAATTTTTTTTTCTCATATGGCTTAGCTTAGCTTGATTTGGCCTAGATTTGTTTGGCTTGGCTTGATTTGGCTTCGCTTGGCTTGAATTGGCTCGGCATGACTTGAATTGGTTTGGTTTATACTCTCTCCATCTCATATTGACAGTCGTGGTTACTAAAAATAGTTGTCTCAAATTATTTATCATTTTAGAAGTTCAAGACAAAACTGATTGTTTTCCCCCCGTTTTACCCTTATTAATAATTGTTCTTGATGATGGAAATAACACATAAATAGAATAAATATTTAATGAAGAGAGATTATATCTTAAGACATAAATAAGGGTAGAATAGTCTAATCCCTTTTCCAAATAATATTTCTTAAGGGGCGTGTAATAGAAAAATACGACACATAATATGAGACAGAGGAAGTAGTAGCTTAGTTTGACTTCATTTGGCTGGATATTAAAAAAAAAGAATTACAAGAAAATACACATGACTTCACACCATAACAAAAAATGGCCCATGTTTTAAGTTTTACCCTACCTAACCCATATTGTACGTGTATCAATTTACAACCAATTTTATGAGACAGAGAAAGTAGTATTTTCATAAGGTAGGCCGTAGGGGAGAAAAGTGATGGGCAGGGGCGGGTAAATATTTTCGGGAAAATTACCAAACTGTCACTCTACAAACTTTCCTAACAAAAAATAGCCCAAAACAAAATATCTACTAAAAAAGTCCCAAATGTCATTTTTGGCCCAAATAATTTCAATTAATGTCAGTTTTTGTATCCGTTAGTATACAACACCGAGTTTTCTCTCTCTCTTTCTCTATATCTCTCACTCTTTCTCCCCTTCTCTCTCTTTCTGCGATTTTTTCCTAAATTCAACCAAAATTGCTAAAATTGACGACAAAACAAGGTACATTTTCGGTTATTTTCGTCTGATTCCAGGTAATTTGGAGTAAAAAACCTCTTATTTTGTATATTTTTCTGATTGCATGTGTTTTTGTAGAATCAATGTTTCTTTTCTTTAGGCTTTTGCGACCGGTTTTGTAAGTTTTGGTCGAGTTTTTGTATTAAGTTCTTCACAAATTTCTGTAACCTTTTGTTCGTATATGTTTTTTTAAATTTTTTCAGTGAACCTAGTTTCAATTGTGAAACAGAGCAATATCAGAAGACAAACTCGTTCGATGAGTTGATCACCTTATTCAAAGTCGGTTTCAATTGAGAAATCGAGCAACATGAGAAGAGAAACTAGGTCGATGAGTTTATCTCCTCATTCAACCCCGATTTTAGTTGAGAAATCGATTGATGAACAAAATATGCAAAGACAAAATCGTTCCGACAGTGTTAAAGTGTTAGAATCTCGAAAGGATATTGTTGGACAATCTGAGAAAAAGAAGAGCAAGAGGGTTATAATGGATGTTGATCAAGGTAAGAGAAAACGTGTCGTGGAGGACAAAGTGAATTTGGGTGTCAAACCAAAAAAAAGTAAGGTTCAGAAGGCAGAAAAAATTAAAATTCCTGACAAAGTTTGTAAGGTATATACAATTTCAGTTATAAATTTTTCTATTGTTGACTCTTCTTTTAAAATGTGGATTTAGTTTGTATTTGTTTGTTTTTAATTCGTGTCATGTATTTGTAGCCTTGGAAGCTTTAAATTCCAGTTGGTGAGCCGTTTCCTGTTACTCATTGGTCATCATACACTAATGTGGACATTGTATTGGTTTTACAGTCAAAGTTGACTGATGTCCAGCTTCGGATGTTTAGGGAAAGCTGTTTTGGCTATTTCCTTGATTTACCTCGAGTTGCTATCCAGGCACAACTTATTCGTTCTTTAATGTTTAGGGAGTTGGTTCAAGATAAGTGTGATCAATTTTATGTGAAATTGAATGACGAATGTGTTTTACGTTTTGGTCTTCGAGAATTTGGTATTGTAAGTGGTATAACCTGTTGTGGTAATGAACATGTTGAGGGTAAATTCAGTGGACCCAATAGGTTGGTGGATACTTATTTTTCTGGTTTTGAAGTGGTGTCAAAGAAGTCACTTATTGATTATTTTGAGAAGAAGAAATGGCAGTTTGATGAAGACGCAGTTAAGATTGCAATCATTTATTTCATACACACATTTCTAATGTCCACTCAGGCTCAGAAGACATTTATAAGTAAACGTGATTTCCATCTTGTCGAGAGTGGTGAGTATGCGTCGTTTTCATGGGGTAAGATTGCGTTTCGAGCTTTAATGAAGTCGGTGAGGGACAGGTTGAGGGGAAAGTCTGAGTTTTATAGGATTGGTGGATTTCCTCTTGCACTACAAGTGTGGTTCTATGAATGTTGCACTGTAGTTGATCAAAAGTTTGTTGTTTGCGTTGGAGATCATACACCACGCATATTTAATTGGGAAATGACAAACAGGCCAAATCGTGAGGACTTCTCTACTGGTTTCTTCAACAGCACAGGGAATAAGGTACCATCTTTCATGTCTTGATGGGATATACATTTATAATACACTGTAATTCATTATGATACATCAAACATACAGTTTTTATACATCTTTGATACATCTAGGACTGAATCACTTTTGGTCACCTTTGTAGTTTAAAAATATCTCTCCGACAATTGAAGAGCTAAGGAGATTTACTTTTCCTGTTGAAGTTACCGATGAGTATCAGAAATATTTGACATCACGTAACAGGGAAAAACTTCCTATTGATGATAGCGATGATTTTGTCACGCCACCCCCGAAACACATTAAGGAGCCTGTCCCACCAAAAAAAAGCGCCAAAAAATGCGCCACGTGTCCAACCTGTTGATAGTGACCGTGAGTTGCAGAAGTNGCGACTGAAACAGCTTTGACAGACAGGAAAACGACCAAAAGGAAGTTTCCCCAAAATTCTTTCATGCATTTTACTAAATAAAAGGAAAATATAAAAAGAAGAAGAAAAGAAGAAAAAAAAGAAGAAGAAGAAAAGAAATGAAAATGAAAACCCCAGAAGAGACACAAATCATGGTAGCAAGGAGCTTTTTCTTTCCAAATCCCGACAAAAAACCGAGGATCTCCCTGGCATAACCCAAGGAGCTTTTTCTTTCCAAATCCCGGCCAAAAACCCGAGGATCTCCCTGGCATAACCCAAGGAGCTTTTTCTTTCCAAATCCCGGCCAAAAAACCAAGGATCTCCCGGCCAAAAACCGTGGAGCCTTTTCTTTCCAAATCCCGGCCAAAAAAAACCGAGGATCTCCCGGCCAAAAAAACCGAGGAGCTTTTTCTTACCAAATCCCGGCCAAAAAACCGAGGATCTCCCGACCAAAAAACCGAGCATTTTCTTTCCAAATCCCGGCCAAAAAACCGAGGACCTCCCGGCCGAAAAACTAAGGAGATTTTTTCTTTCCAAATTCCGGCCAAAAAACCGAGGATCTTCCGACCAAAAAACCGAGGAGCCTTTTTCTTTCCAAATCCCGGCCAAAAAACCGAGGATCTCCCTGGCAAAACCCAAGGAGATTTTCTTTCCAAATCCCGTCCAAAAACCGAGGATCTCCCTGGCATAACCCAAGGAGCCTTTTCTCTCCAAATCCCAGCAAAACCCGAGGGTCTTTTTTCTTGCCATCCCGGCATAACCCGAGGCCCCTTTTTCTTTTCCGGCATAACCCGGCCATTTCCCAGCATAACCTGGATTCATTCACAAAGATACACAATCCTGATTTGATCGCTTAGATATGTGTCACAACTAACTCACGAAATTTTCCTAGTGAAAACTGGGGCAGAAAATTTCGTTCGTTTGTTTGTTTTGGCGTCTTAAGCAGGTTGACCTCAAGACGTAGGGTGCGAGAGGACCGATAGAATAAGTCTCAATCCAGAACAAAGAAAAGAACAAAAGAACAAAAATAAATGAACTCAAATATGAAGCAAGCAAGGGTGCGGATTGCTCAAAATCTGATTGAAGTCACAAGCTCCGCTGATCCTGTTTTGATCTAATGCTGCAGAAAGAAATAAACACCTACAACTTACGAGCATCAAGATTCGGATCAGGGTCCACAGCAAAATCAGCTACGACTCAAGATCAAGTCTCAAGAGAATTATAGACAGGAATTTTGTAACTAATAGTTGATAGGCATAGCTAGCTTAGCTTTGATTTTCCTTTTGGTGTAATAAGGAGGTCAGCAAGCAGTAGCAGCAACAGCAACAGTGAAATCACAGCTCCTGGTAGTCCCAGCTACCAAAACTTCTAGAACTACACTGACATGATTCCTTTATAGCCAAGGATATGTAGGCAACCTTTGAAGCAAGGTTCGGTCAGACGTTTTTCAAAAAACAAAATGCTTCTCATGGAGTTCCAAGCAGGCAAAAATCCCTCATAATTGCTCATTTATCTTTGCCCAAAAACCCTTCGTGTCTCCGAGCAAAGAGGGGCAGCTGTGAGCACGTGATTTTTGCCACGCTTAAATTACTCCTATAAAATTCCTTAGAATTAGGATTTTTCTTTATTATTTGAATTTATAGGAATTAATTGCATGATTTTGTGTCTTGTTTGCATTTTTGTGTGCATTTTTTGTTGCCATAATTCATAAAAAAAAAAGGTACAAAAGTAGTGCATTTGCATTTAGAATTCAATTTTATATTTTTAGGTTTACTAGTTAATTAACATTACAAGATAATGGAAGAAAATAACCAAAAATAGTCCATTTTTACTTTTTTACTTTTAATTTTGATTTTTCTTTAGTTTTCTCTTAATTTAGGATTTAGTTAATTTTTGAAATTTAATTAGTTTAATTTTAGAGTTAAATCAGGTCTTTTAATTAATTTTGTATTCTCTACCAAAAAATCAAAAGAAAATGAATGAAAAAAATAAAGAGAAAATTAAAAGAAAATAGGAGTCTTAATAAAGACCCAGGTTTTGGGCCATTTTTTTTTAATACATCAGCAGCCCAAATGAACAAAACCGGTCTCAAACCCAAGCCCCAAACAGCCCAACCCGGTCCAAACCCCTTTCCCACCTAAACGACGTCATTTTGGTGGGATTTAATCGGGACCGTCGAGGTTGCTTGATCGGACGGTCCTGAAGCCCACCTCATTAAGTATTTAAGTGTCCAGACGTTACCACCCCCCTCAGACCCCCCTACCCTTCGTCTCTCTCATACCCTAACATAGAGACTCTGACGCCGCCGTCCTCCACCGTCCGCCGCCGGCCGGAAATCGCCTCCGCCGGTAGCGATTCTCGAAACGACCCCAAAAATACACCATACCTTCCTCTCATCTTCCCCATGCCGAATCCAGCCTTAGTTTCTTTCAAATCCCACCCCAACTCCTCGAATAATCCAAATCCTAGCGCCGCCTCCACCGTACACGGCGCCGCCGCCTCCCAAACCTCCCCAAAATTACATCCCAGACCCTCCTCACCTCCCCCATCCTAAATCCCCATTTATTTTCCCTCAAATGTTCCTCCAGTGACTCGAATTTCAGATCAAGTCCGGACCAGGAACCCTAGTTGTCAACAATTGGGGTTTACTGATTTAGGGGGCTATAACAACCCTTAATCGTGTGTTTTCTCTTGAAAGCACATGATTAAGGATGGTTATAATCCGATTATCGTCCAGAAGTTGGCCTTAAGTTTAGTTCAAAATGAGTGATTTCGAGGTACTCCACTTCTACCTTCTTTTCTGTTTTTCTTCATGACTTTGATTTCTTCTATTTGGTATTCCTGTTATTTTCATTTTATTTTGGGGTCTTAATTTAGGTTCTGATTTCAGCCATATAGTTAGTTTTGTTCTTATTTTGATTTGACTGTGTATTTGATTTCGATCCATAATTTTTGCTGTTGATTATATGATATGAATTTTACTTTAAGTTTTATTTTACTTGTTTGCCGTTAGTCGTTAGTCACTGTTTTAATTTTAGCCTTAGGGTATTAGTGATAATTAGAGTTAAATTCCAGTTTGTTAAATTCCAGTTTTAATTAGTTAGATTGATTAGTTCAAATTTTAGGTTTTCTTATTATAATTGGTGATGTTTGGTCATAGCTGAACATTTTCAGTCCCTGTGATTGATTAACTATGGTTATTTGATCAAGTTGAAAAAGGGTTGGGGTTGGTTAGTTATTTAGGATTAGTTCAAGGGTAATTAGGTACTTAAAGTGGCACAGAAATATTGTAGGCTAAGTTGGAACACCCTAGGCTCTTCTAGAAGAGGGCCTTAATTATAATTTCAGTAACTTAGGGTAATAACTTAGGCAACAAGTCAAAACTATAGGACTATTGAACAAAATCTGAGAATAAAAAGGGGGAAAATGAGTGAATGAATTCTAGAAACTTCCTCTCCCTTTCCTGCATATAAAAGGCAGTCCTCATGCCTTCTTTCACAGGTTTTACAGATCTGAAAAAGTTCAAAAAAAAAAGTGTCAATCTCTCTGAAAAATTCCCAAAGTTTTGAGAATCTGAAAATTCCCCAAAAAAAAATTTCCAGCCTCTAAAGTTCCCACCAAAACACTTCCTGCAAGTACAGCGTCTGAAATTTGAATTTTAAATTCGAATATTCAAAGCTGAACTCCATCAATTCAACATTTTCCTCTTAGATATTAGCTTCTTCAAAAACCAGAAAATATATAACATAAACTCAAAAAGAACAACAATGTTTGATTATAATTTTAGATCAGCTTCAAAGTTTTAGCATCCTACTTCAAATTTTCAGTTTACATAAGGTTTAAAGTGGTTTGGATCTCTTAGTTCTGTTCAGTAGTTGAGATTAAAAGCTCCTGGGTCGTTTCAAGCTGAAAGTGGTTGGTTCAGTCAATTTTTGAGTCTATTTGCTGGTGTTTTTCCTTACTGTTTCCACTAGATTCCAAGCTGAAATAGTTGTTGCTGTCCTTTGTTATTTGACACTGTGGTTATCTCACACTGCTGCTGACCTCTCCTTGTCCTTGTTGTATTTCAAATTCCAGGTACACATCTTTGAATTCACCTCGATGTAGCTTTGAATTGGAGTTAAAATAAAAAGTGTTCATCAGATCTATGTGCGTGGGATGTTTTCTGTTGTTTGTAGTTAAATAGATGTTTGTAGTTATTTGGTCAGCTGTTGTTTGTATTACATAGACAATAGACACATGGACTGTATAATTAGGACTGCTTTTAAGTTGATTTGGACTGTTCTGGACTGCCAATTGGTATTGGACTGTTAATTAGTCTAGGGTAATTGTGTTCAGTGAATAGTTTAATTGTCAACAGCATAAATATAGACGCAGATTGTAGATCTTCACCTGTAGTTAATAGTTCAACATTCAAATGGCATGATTGTAAAATCAGATTATGGACTTGGATTGCATATTCATAATTGTAGAAGCCGTTGCAATAAAGTTTGTACTTAAATGTATTGTTGTTTGCTGGTTTTTCATTTAAAACTCAAATAGGATATAAGTAAAGGTCAGTTCAGGTGTGAAAATGGTTAGAGATCATCAATTTCCTCTTTATTTTGTCATATAATTCAAGCAAATAAAAATATAAAGTTCCTCATGGACTTAACCGATGAGCTATTACTTCTGTATGTTAATGAATATGATCTTACTGTTTTGCTGGTCCATACGCTGACTAGTGGTCTTATGTATTAGATCACCATTTAGTTAACACTAAGAATTACAATAACAATCAGGTCTTAGTTCATAATATACATAGGAATCGGACTTTGATTTATATGGTTTGGGCCATGACTGGGCCTGAATTTCAGCCCAGCTCCTCAATGGTAAAAGCCCAGCGTATTTCTGATCAGACTGAACTTTGCTGAAGTCCAAATTGCCGGGCCGCTTCATGTTACAGGGATTGGGCCAAGTTTTGAGGCCCAACGTGCTGAAGGTCCATTTTACTTGTTTAAATTTTGGACTTAAGGTTTGAGCCTCTTTGAATACTCCTAGTAATAATCGCATAACTAATCAATTAGGTCGTTTAGAGACAAATCAGTAGAAAATTATAGTTTACTCTAGGATGGCCTTTGAATAATAAAATGAGGTGAGCCCCGCCAAGCAAAATGCATAGATTGCGGGGCCCTCTTTGAATGTTCATATCAAAATCCTTAGAATTCGGGACGCGCCATTTAGCGAATTTCATGGCCTCCCACAAAGTTAATAATACGTTAGTCGCTTTAGGCGCGCTTCTAATAATTTTACCTTCCTAAGCTTGGGTGCACATTTATGTGACCCAAATCCAAATCACGAAGTTGAAATGTGTCGAAAACCGCGGGTGCATTTACGTGATGTGGTTCGAGACGCGTTTTCACGACGTTGCAATTCTCTTTTAAAATAAATAATAAAAGCGGTTTAAAGTTAAAAAGCACATAAGTTACAACATGTATGAAAATCAGATTTTTAGCTAGTTATAATAATTTAAGCGACCGTGCTAGAACCGCGGGATCCGAGGGTGCCTAACACCTTCCCTCGGGTCAACATAATTCCTTATTCAGAATTTCTGGTTCGCAGACTCCAATAGGGAAGTCGAAATTTTCCTCGATTTGGGATTCAATTTAAACCGGTGACTTGGGACACCAAAAGCCAATCCTATCCCAAGTGGCGACTCTGAAAAATAAATAAATAATCCCATTTCGAATAATGTCACTTTAAATGGAAAAACTCTCTTATACATTATCCTTCGGGGTAGGTGTGTAAAAAAGGAGGTGTGACACCATCTTTTATGTCTTGATGGGATATACATTTATAATACACTGTAATCATTGTGATGCATCAAACATACAGTTTTTATACATCTTTGATACATCTAGGACTGAAGCACTTTTGATTACCTTTGTAGTTTAAAAATATTTCTCCGACAATTGAAGAGCTAAGGAGATTTAATTTGCCTGTTGAAGTTACCGATGAGTATCAAAAATATTTGACATCACGTAACAGGGGAAAACTTCCTATTGATGATAGCGATGATTTTGTCACGCCGCCCCCGAAACAGATTAAGGAGCATGTCCCACCAAAAAAGGCGCCAAAAAAGGCGCCAGGTGTCCAACCTGTTGATTATGACCGTGAGTTGCAGAAGTTGAAAGCTGATGTGAAGCAAGTTTGTATTGGTCTTTTTTATATTTTTTTGAAGTATTGTTCAAATTGTATATTCAAAGTCTATTATCTTTCTTATTTTTTTCATCTTGTAGCTCCATAAGCAGTTAAATTCCTTCATGGAATATGTTTCTGATAAATTCAAGAATGTCTTTGAGTTGATAAATTCCAAGGTATGTGTTTCTTTTCCATTGTGTATTTCTTTTTATTTTTTAGTTAACTTACTGTATACTTTTTTTAAAAATAGCTTGGTGCGAGCGAAGTCAAATATGGTGCACATCCAGAGGAAGACACCAGTGGTCATCAAGACAATAATGATTTTGTGAGCAATATGGAGTTTAGTGGCAATGAAGATGTTGAAATGGATGGTTGTAAGGTGTTTTTAGTTGTGCATTCTGCACTTTTTCCTTTTCTTTTCTTTGGTATTTTTGATAATTCGATTCTTTTTTAAAAAAAATAGGTCAGTGGAAGTGAAGGCAAAGATGTTCCACATTCTCAAAGAGATACTAGTGAGTATCATCGTAACAACATTATGCTCGGTGCATCAGATCAATTAGGTGTCAATACTATGGAAGGACCTTCTGGTGTGAAAGTTGACATGTTTGTTGCTAAAGTAACTTTCACACCAGATGTAGCACATGCTGGCGGTTTTAGTGAGATTGCAGATGCGGCGGCAGGGGAGACAAAGGATGAATCTGAGAAACAAAAGGTTCCTGAATCTCGGACTGGTGTTGTTTGTGCGACTGCAAGTGTTGATGCGGCGGCAGGGGAGACGGAGGAAGAATCTGAGAAACAAAAGGTTCCTGAATCTCGGACTGGTGCTGTTTGTGCGACTGCAAGTGTTGATGAGGCGTCAGGGGAGATGGTTCTGTACAATCCTGAATTACTTCCTGAAGTATCGCCGCAAATGGAAAAAAGAAAGAGATGTCCTGCAAAGGCCGTGTAGTCTCCGTTCATTACTGTGTGTGATTCAGGTTCCAGTACTGGTGTTGTTGCAGCGAAAGGAAAAAAGCAAATTTATGCTATTATGCATCCTTTTCAAAGCAAAATCGGAACTGGCGTTAACAGCTCTTTGTTGAATGTATTTGCTGCGTGGGTCAAAGAAGGGAAGTCCAGAAAGAAGTATGTTTCCAACTTCTGAATTTTTTTCAGTTTTATATTTTAATATATTGCCACTTATAGCATTATTTTACATCAAATCACTGCACTCTTTTGTGTATATATGTTACCTGGAATGAAATTTATCCAAACATGTTAGTGAACTCAATCCTGCTTATGATCTTGGTGTATTTCATGTTGAAGACAAAAAATGGTTTTACACTTTGGCATATAATGGTCAGCCTTTGGATGACTCAGTATGTAAGAATTTACTTTTGCAGTATTTTTTTTAAATTTTAGCCAGTGTACACATGAACACTCAGTCCTGTTAAGTTAGAACACTTTGGCATATAATGGTCAGCCTTTGGATGACTCGGTATGTAAGAATTTACTTTTGCAGTATTTTTTTTAAATTTTAGCCAGTGTACACATGAATACTCAGTCCTCTTAAGTTAGAACAGATTATTAATTGCTATTGCCTGGCACAAGAGATAGCAGTGAGCATTTATTTTCCTTTGTTTTCTGTGATTTTGGTTTGAAAAACTGTAGCTGCTTGAAGCTTACGAGCCTTTAGTGATTAGTTATTTGTTATGTTTTATTTCAGCACATTGATGTTTTGTTCTATTATCTGAGGAAGAAGGGGAAGTATGACAAAGACCTACCTGTAACTTTCACCACCACAGATTGGTACTTCGACGAGAAACTTAATGAGTGTGGCAGGCGTTTATTGATACAGATGGAGACAGTGATGTGTGCAATCCGAAACATGTCATTGCAGAGTATATTCAGGGGTTTGTCATGGATGCCAATGTTCCATGGCACACTGTCGAGCATGTCTTAATGCCAATTAATGTTGCAGAACAATGGCATTGGATAATGGATGTGATGTCCTTCAAGGATAGGTGCATTTATGTGTATGACTCTATGCGCGGTGGAGCTGTTCATCAAGCCAAAGTTCATAAGACCATGGCCAAGTATTCTGTATTGCTGCCTCATTTTTTCGTGCACGCGCATTTCTATTTAAACAAAAAAGATATCAATTGGCGCACTGGTGTGTACAAATCAAAAGACTTGATTACCCCCTTTCAAGTAAAACTGGTTGAAGGATTGCCTCAACAAGTCGAAGCGTATGAATTTCTTTCAACACAATCTATCTTGTTTTTAGATTCTGCAGTTTGATAGTTGTTGTTCTTTTTATTTTTGCAGTGATTGCGGTGTATTTGTAATATCATTTGCCGAGTATTTCATTGAGGGCAAGACGCCTCCTAAACAATTCAATGCCTATGCACAGCGGCGCAGATTTGGTGCTCTCTTGTGGGATTATGCTAGAAAGAAGATGGAACTGAACGCACAAAGTGATGATGAGATTATTGGTCGACAGAAGAAGTCACGAAAGCAGAAGAAGTAGTTACTTCTATCATTGTTGTAGGATGAACTCTATAATTTCGTTTGTATTGTGTTCTGTTATGTTGTCATTATTGTAAGACAGATCAGATTTGTTCGTGTTTGAATTATATGAATACTTTTAAGAATTGTATGGAAAATGATATATTTGCTGTGTTATAAAGGTTTAATGAGTTTCAGTGCGAAATTGGAGTGTTGCAGTTTAGTTTATTTTGGTATTTTCTCCCTTGATTTTGTGTTGTGAATTAAAGATATAAAAAATATACCGTAGTTTGTGATACATTGTCTCTTGCAGATACACGAATGATACACATATGATATAGATATAATACATATATGATACACATATGATACACAATTTTCAAATATGTATTGATGAAGCCACTCTTATTTGCAAATTTCTAAAACTATTTGCATGGTTTTCTAGCTGCTACGACTGTTTTCCATTAGTTAGCGTTGTTACTACACAAATACAGACATGAGTAAGAGCCTATACACAGAGATACATAGGTGATACAAAGCAATACATAGATGATACAAATGTGATACACAAGCGATACATATATGATACAAATATGATACATAGCTGATACAACTTCTTTTTAATCAAACAGATGTATAATATACACTTGCAACACGATTTTAAATGCTAGGTCAAATATTTATTTATATCTAAAATTCAAATGATATTCTACAATGATATAGTTCTTGATATATTGCATTCTTCTAAATCTCTATGATATTTAGTAAAGTAAAATAACAAGTAATTCTAAATTTGACATATTTCATCCTCTCTTTGGATTATTTCTACAAGTTTTCCTGTTGTGACCTTCTTCTCCACACTGTCCACATGAAATCGACCTTTCTCGTTCCCTTTCAGATATTGGCTTGCACCTCCCCTTCCTTGGCCTTCCTATTGTTTTAGTCTCCGGTGGCAAGACTTTTTCGTTTAGAACTTCTGCAGGAATTTTCCATGTGCTTTCATCAAGAACCGGATAAATTGGAATTTCATAGGCCTTCAATAGGTACTTCCTGGTGTAGTACACCGAGCAATACTCAATGTGTTCAATGTATTTGTATTTTAATACTGACCAAGCATGTGCACATGGCAGCTCATCCAACTGAAACCTTCTACAGCTGCAAGTTCGATCTTTTAGGAATACCATTCTCTGCTTACCCTTATCAAGTACTGAATATAAGTAACATGTCGAAGGGATCACCTACAAAATTTATCAACTATCATTAGTGGTGACAAAGCAGGTGCCCTCAAAATACATATACTAGAGATACAAGATTCAAAATAGCTTAATATCATGTCAAACCAACCAATATTTCAGCAGTGGGGTAGGCATAAATGCTACATTAAATTGAAAGCCTTTGCTTTTGTGCAGGTGGACACTAGTTTAATAGAATCACATAAAGGGTTCAAGATATAACATATCCGTGAATTCGGCATGATTACATATTCTATGCACAAGTATCTACAGATTCCAGTCATACCTTCATCTGATGTGACAATTCAAGATTGTCCATCAGCATTGTATCATATTTTTTTCCAAGATCAGTGAATGACTCTACTGCATTCTTTAGGTTTGTTACATTCCATCGTCCGATCAATTGCCTTATGTAGTCTAGCAAAGCAGTACTGGGAGTTCCCTAGCAGCCTTGAACGCTGCATTGATCGACTCTGCAATGTTTGAAGTCATCGTCAATGTTCTGTTGACAGTGGAATGTGCTCTGGACCATCTTTCATACCCAACATTCATTAAGTAATCTTTGACCCTCTTATCAATTTTCTCTACCTCTGCCATGTGGTAATCAAACTTCTCAACTGTGTATGCTTTGGCCATAGCAAAGAATATGTCTTTGAGTAGCAAATGGTTTTTTTGTAATTTTCTTTTACATTATTCCATAGATGCTATATGCAGACACAATGAGGTACTTGTGGATACAATATTGCCGCTGCATTTTCAATGCCTTCATGCCTGTCCGAGACTATGGACATTCCCTTCCTTTCCCCAAATGCATCCTTGAATCTCGCAAAAAACCACTCCCAAAAAGCATTATTCTCTGAATCTACTATGGCATATGCGAGTGGTAGGATATTACATGCTGGATCTTGTGTTGATGCTATCAATAATGTTCCTCTATATCTCGATTTAAGAAAGGTTCCATCTACAACAACAACCGGTTTGCAATGCTGCCATCCTTTGATAGACGGATATAGTGCAACGAAAGCATACATGAACAAGTCTTCCTCTATTTTTTTCAAACTTACCACCGACATAGGATTTGTAAGAACCAACATATAAAAGTAGTTTGGCAGCTTTTCATATGATTCGCTCGGGTTCCCTCTCAATACTTGAACTGCATATTCTTTCGATCTCCATGCTTGCATATATGTCATTTGAAGACCATACTGCTTGTTCATGTCTCCAGTTATGTCATTAGGAGTGTATATTATTTTTGGGTCTTTATACTTGTCTATCAGAAGACTGCCGATGAGTTTTGCAGTAGCTTAACGTTGTGTGTAAGATCTGTATTTCAGGGGGCATGAGTGCACTTTGCTGAAATTTCTGACCTTGAAAAGGTTTGCTTTTTTCAGGATCGAAGACTTAAAATACCAATCACAGTTGTTGTTGATGCATACTAGGCAGTACCTACGACAAGGATATAAACTTTTCCATCAATAAACAAAGTGACATGAAATACAATGATATATAGTGATACACACTGCCATCAACAATACTAGATGAAAAAATACAATGACTATACAGTACTAGACGGTGACAACCACAACTTAAAAGTGTACAGCCACATACTTACAAGCAACAACTTATTTTCTGCATAATTATGCTTCTAAGATCAACTACGATATACATTGAGATACATAATTATACAATAAATATTTTGATACCTGCTTTCACTTGATCTATGCACCTTAAACTGAAATTTTTCATTTACTGCCAAGTGCTTCTTGAATTTGACTATCGTTGCCTTGTCTTTATAAATTTGACCTTCTTCTACATCTATGTGTTGAGGGTCAGTTATTATTGTATTTTTATCAGATTCTGTATCATTCCAGTCTTCTCCATCCCTAAACTCGATCATCTTAATTGTATCGCCATTGTATCTCTCCTCTACAACTGAGCTTTGTGCACATTCTAAGGAAATCACAGCAGAATTGAAATTGTAGCAGATCATGTCCATATCCTTTTCACCCGATGTTATACAAAGAGGATACATTGTAAATTCTGAGCTTTTTTTCAGCTCAAGATATACACATACACCCATACTATTGTGTATCACTATTGGCGGAGAACCGTTTTGGACAGTGTATTTGATTTCAATAGCATTCAATGAAGTATCTATCATAAGTTGTTTCGAAATCACGTCTACAAAATCTTCAAAACTTATATTTGGAGTAACTATGCTTTATAATCTACAAAGCCATTGTCAACATTCCATCGGCCACCATACTGAATAAAAATGGGTAAATTTGCCATTGAAGTAGCTGAAATTAGGTCAAAACTCACTAATTCCTTGATTGATTTTGATTGCAGTTCGTAGTTCCTTCTACACAGAAATTGCGAAGGTATATAGTGAAATTGATGGATTTTGAGTGAAATTTGGAGCTCCTTTGGATCCTTTGGAGAATTTTTGGGAGAGAATGCTATGATTTACAGAGGGAGAGAATGTCGTGATCTGGTAAATAGATAGCTTGAAAAAGGGAAGGAAACGTGATTCTCGGATGCTTGATTGTTGGAAGCGTGATTCTCCGATGCGTGCTAAATTGATATGCCTGTGTGTATCTCTAAATTTTGGGCTACTTTTGGTAAGTGTTTAATTTTGGGCTAGAGGTTGGTAAGTTTGTATTTAAATTGGCTATTTCTGTACTTTTCCCAATATTCCCCCCTGCATAGATATTTGCTAAACTTCCACATTTATTTATTATAATATTAATATTAATTTCAACACTTGATGTTTGTAAATTAGCTGCTTTGAATCAATTAAGTTCGAAAAAATCTATTTATGGAGTATTCATTATAGTAAACTCCATAATAACTGCGGAGATGGAATTATACAAAAAGAGCGGGGGGAAAAAAAGGCATGTGGCAGTTTGTTTGCATTCCCACAACATACAGCTAATTTTTTTTCATTAACCCTCCATACTCTCCATTATTTGAAATACAACTCATTATTTTCAATAAAATTAGACATCAAGATTCCCATTATTTGAAATAGAATTCTCAAATCCACGGAAACTTTGGCCACCACCAAAACCTTGTCCGCCACCAAAACCTATATCGCCGATTTGACCCCCGATGCCTCCGCCGCCGCCTCCTCCGATGGAGACTGATCCATCTCTGCCAATGCTTCCGCCTATCCCGATGCCTCCACCGCCGCCAATTGACCCAACTCCAGGAACAGTTATTGAACCCCCACCACCAATACCTCCTCCAATGTCTATACCGTCAGGACCAACATGTGCTCCACCGCCGCCTCCGCCGCCAAATCCGCCGGTAACTTGTGGAATATTATCGGGAAAACCAAAACCGATAAGCTTTCGAGCAGAAGTTGTATATATTAGAGTTCCCAAAATCAACAAAATCATGAAATTTGAAGCCATCTTCGGACGCGTTACTATAAATTGAAAGAATTAACTCTTTTGTGAGCTAAAGAAGATCCTTCGTTCTAAATTGAATGATCAACTTAGCTGCATACAGTAGTAGGTTTAACAAATTATTTTTATGAACATGTTGCAGTGATGACCAAGTATGGAGAAATATATAGTACGGTACTGAATTTATAACAAAATGAGTTCAATTTATGAATGTATCGAGTATGCAACTGCAGATTAAAAGAGGAAGACGAAACGGAAAATTTTCACCATTAATTGCATGTGTAATAAATACTAGAGATTTTGCATTAAAAGTTGATGTAACAGATCACTTTATTAAGGATGCATTAATGAACAATGGCATTCTATTTGTCACACGTTTCAGATTCGGGTTTCTACAGGTTGTTGTTTGATTATCCTTTTATATACTTGGAGTTCAAAAAATTGAAAACAAATTACAAGAGTCTGATCTGATAGATAGAAGAATATATCGCTATGAAATTATAGTGCAACTTACATAATTTGCAAACTTTGTTCCCCTCGTGTTGAGAAGTAAGAAATATTATGTGAATATATTAATTAGTATATTACAACCCATATTCACGTACGTTAGTTCATGCCCTAAGTTAGTCGACATAAATCAGAAAAGAGATTATCTTTGAGATGATAAGAAGTTAATCCTATTGGTCTTAAATTATACAAGGGTGTATAAGGCTGGTTAACAAGTATTAGAAGTTAAATGAATCAAGGATGTTGTAACCCGTATTTTCGGGTAAATCTAGAGGCACTACTAGAAATCCGGAAAAAAGCGACGAACAATTTGCGACCAAAATTGGTCTGTGAAGAAAAGCGACCAAAGTTGGTCGCTAATTGGAGAAAATTATTTAATAATTATTCTAAATACATTAGCGACCAAGGTTGGTCGCTTTTTGGTCGATAATGTGGTCAAAATATTGACCGGACTGGTCAGACTTGCTTGGTCAAAGAAATATTGAAATTAGCGACCAACTTTGGTCGCTAAAGTGGGACCTAGTTATAAAATTTTAATAATTATATTATTATTTTAAAAAAATTATAAAATATAAATAAATATAATTTAAAATTAGCGACCAAAGTTGGTCGCTTACGAAAGGGGAAGCAGATAGAGACCAACTTTGGTCGCTAATCTGGGACCCAGTTATAAAATTTTAATAATTGTATTATTATTTAAAAAAAATATAAAATATAAATAAATATAATTCAAAATTAGCGACCAAAGTTGGTTGCTTACGAAAGGGGAAGCAGATAGAGACCAACTTTGGTCGCTAATCTGGGACCCAGTTCTAACGTTTAACAATTATATATTATTTAAATATTATATAAAATATAGATAAATCTGATTTAAAAATTTAGCGACCAACTTTGTCGCTAATTTTAATTTCTGGATAATTAGCGACCAAAGTTGGTGGTCTTTTCAGGTCAACATTGTCAAAATTAAAAAAATCACTTTTATATTTACTATCTAATAATATAAATGTAATCTGTTAACACTTTTGTAATACAAGAGATGAATACACTAAAATATACTCTACATGTTATATATGTAGTTAAAATTGTACAACGAAAGCATGTTATATATATATATATATATATATATATATATATATATATATAGAGAGAGAGAGAGAGAGAGAGAGAGAGAGAGAGAGATAAGTCGAGACGTTTTGTTTTTAATATTCAATGATGCATCTGAGTAGGTTATAAGTCGATAAATCAATTTACAAGTGTATAAATCCCTAAAAATAATCCGACCCTGTGTTACTAGCACTTCAAAGCGCTAGTAAATTATTTTAGGGATTGATACATATATACGGCTATCAAAGTGTGTGTGTGTGTGTTAGTGTGTGTTAGGGATTGATACACACACACACACACACACACTTCACTGTAATACTATAACGTATATATAACTTGTTAATAGTATATTTAGTGTGTGTATATATATAACAACACCACTTCGTGCTGCTTTAACTACATATATATGCATGTTATAGTATATATACTATATTATTATTTGTATTATAACAAAGTTAATGAATTACATTCATTCATCACTAGGTTATAAGTCGATGAATCAATTATAACAGATTAATTGATATAGGTCAAGACGTTTTGTTTTAAATATTTAACGATGCATCTGAGTAGGTTATAAGTCGATGAATCAATTTACACACAGATATATTTGATGAA